GTGAGATATAAGAGTGGCCCTGGTAGGGGTGTTTAGGAAACCCCCCTGGTAGGCCATAGCTCCCACGTGATTCAGGCCTAGGTGTTGGTCAGTCTGGGCAAATCACCTCCACCCATCAGTGTGTGGGTTGGCTGTGGGGGTGGGGGACGGACTGGGCAGGACTAGGCCAAATCTTAGCACACTGGCATATGTAGGAGCTAGGCTAGAGTATGGGTCATGCCAGGCTTGGTTATCATACTTACCAATTTGAATAAACCAGGGACAGGGGCAGAACGGGATGGGCTAGGCTGTAGCATCCACCAGCAAGATTTACAAATGTGGGCAGGCAGGGCAGGCCAGGCTGCAGTGTCCGATGGCAAAGGCCAAGACGGGGGATGGACTTTGCTGGGTTGGGTCACACCAGATCTGTGTCTGGGAACAGGCCTGGCTGGGGAACTAAGGGGGCATCCCAACTGGGTGGAATAGAGGCAGCAATATGGGCTACATATGACTTCAGTGTCCCTCGGCATGAGTGTGGACTGAATCTGGGGTGTGCCAGATGGGGCCAGACTCCAACAACCACTGGTGCTTGTGAGAGCCGGAAAGGGTGGGTGTAGGACAGATTGGGCTGCATCTCAGCACACGCTGAACCACGTGAGAGCTGTATCTAGGCATGGACCAGGTGCGGCTGAGCTATAGCACCCAATAGTAAGAACCAGAATAGGTGTGGGCTGGTCGGCCAAGGCCACTGTTCCTGCCAGGACAGGAGGTGGACTAAGTCAGGCTGGGTCAAGGGCCCACCAGTGCGCAAGATCTGCCACTGGTCAAAGACCTGATAGAGGATCTTAGGGGAACTCCTCTGTCAGGGACACAGTCACTGCAGGTGAGCACAAGAACCAAGGCTGGGAACAGGCCAGACCAGGCCAGGTTACGGTATCTGCTGGCTTACATGGGGTCAGGCCAGGCTGAGTCAGTTCATAACACCCACTGGCAGATCTGAGAACCAGGACGGGGTGCAGGACTGGCTTGATTGGGCCACAACACCAGCCAATTCACATCAGGGCTGGGATTGGGAGCTGACAGAGCCAAGCTAACCTATAGCACCCAGCAATCTGAGCTGGAACAGAGGGCAAACTGGGCCAGGCAGGCTACAGCACCCCAACCACTGGCAAATGCTATTAGGCGGGCCATGCCAGGCTGGGCCTCAGCACGTGAGAACTGGGAAGGGAGGGGGAGTTGTTAGTCCATTAGAGGGGAGCACGGGCTCCCCTGCTGGGCTACTCCTCTCCCACTGGTGTGTGTGAGAACTGGGACTTGGTGGTAGACCAGACTGGGCAAGGCTACCTGTTGGCCTGCATGTGAACTGGATTAGGAGGAAAGTCAGGCTCAGCTAATCAACTATATCCACTGGTGCATACATAAGGCAGAGTAGATACAGGCTGGTCAGGCTTTCCTACAGCAGCAGCTGGCAAGTGCTAGGACTAGGGGCAAGCCCTTTCAAGCTAAACTACAGAGCCATCTGGAAGGTGTAAGATCCAGGACTGGAAGTGGGCCCAGCAGGAAAACTGTGGGCACCTCTCTGATGGACTACAACTCCCAATGGTGAGCATGAGAACCAGGGCTGGAGATGGGCCTGGTTAGACAGGTGATGGCTCCCAGCCAGAATGAGTGTGGGCTGGATAGTAGGATCAATTGGGTTGAGCTAGGCTTCAGTGCCCATTGATGTGTGTGAGAGCTGAGTGGGATGTGAGACAGACTGGACCAGTATGTACAGCAGAGGAATCAGGGCTAGGGCTGGATCTAGTGGATGTTACTGGGGGATCGTTCCAACTAGGCTGAAGTTCCCACTGGCATGCATATGTCCGAGTGTGTGATGGGCAGGGTTGGGCTGTGCTGTAACACCCACGGGTTTACATAATAGATAGGGCTGGAAGCAGAACTGTCCTAGCAATTGCAAGTACCCCTGTGTGGGCAGGCTGATGTGCATGACAGAGTGAGCCAAAACCTGTACTGGCAAGCATACACAAGAGTCATGCCTGGGGTTACTTCACACAAGGTTTCTTTAGGGATCCCCCTCAACTGAACTGCCGAACTCAGAACTCCAACCACAGGAGAATCGCAGGTCTATGGTCTGACCGTGAAGCACATGTGTCAGAAGTGAGCCTCCTCAATGGAAAAGACGGAGCAGTGGACAAATATCCAGATTCACACAGAGTATATAGCAGGACATCGGAACCTACAGAGGAGGGAGGGCAGAACAAATTGGACAATTACCCCAGCCAAGCATTGACAGCAAATATCTGGGCAAATGGAGACTCTGAGGTGGACTATGTCAGCCAATGGACCCTGGAAGGATTTCCTCATCCTTGGATCAGCAAAAATAAACAGCATTCCAGAACTACTGAAACCACCTGAGCAGAACCCTTGGAGCATGCTCCACATCAGAGACCCTGGAATGATATCAAGTAGCCGTGCCCCACCCCCAAGTACTGATGCGCTTGGGATGCTTCTCTCACCCCTCCCCCCAAATACAGGAGCAAGAAAAATTAAATTTGGAAGCAATGGTCTCACCCTCTTTCTTGACCCTTCCCACCCTAATCAGAAGTCCATATGAGCATACATCTTTCTAAACTATGCAAACATCATCAAAAGTCACACACACACACACACACACACACACACACACACACACACCTGTTTCTTCAGGGTTCTGGTGGCCGGGAGTTTAAAGCAAGGCATCCACAGGCTATTCTCGCCTTGCTTCTCCCCATCTTCTTGCTTCTCCTTGACCTCCAAAGGCTCCTGGAAAGCCTTGAAGATCTTGGCCAGCAGGTAACTCATTCCGTTCTCTGTCTCCATTACCATGTGGTGTTTCACCTCTTTTTACTAAATTCGCTTCATCTTATAACCAGCGTAATCAGACCACCTGGCAGGATTCAAGGCCCCAGGTAAACGATGACATCACTAAGCAAGACGTTCCAAGGGCTTTAGTGGTCACTTCCCAGAAGCCAAAAGCAAAGACCGGTGCATTCCGCGGCCGAAGTTAGTCCTTGATCTCATAGCCTCATTCTCAGACCAACGCTGTCTCCATCGGGTGGGGAAAGTCCCATATTTACTGCCTCCCTGCCTAGCAAAACTTTTCTTCTCATGGCCGAACATCCATGCCAGAGAAGTTATATAACTGGTCCTGCTTGGTGACACAAGCAAACTCCTGAACCAAACATCACTGCCAAATAAATGGAAAACTGTGACCGACCAGGCCTGGTTCATGTGCCCAAGCATATGGGTACGAATTGAGGATCTGTGGCCATTAAAAGGGAGGTTGGGGGGGGGGACAGTATTGTGACACAGCAGGTCAAGCTTGAGATGCCAGCATCCCACAGAGTGGCAGTCCAACCTTCAGCACTGCTCTGCAGCCAGCCCCTTGCTAATAGCCTGGGACAGCGTGGGAGGGGCCGGCAGTGAAGACATCCAGGTAGCACACTGGAGTGTCGGGGTTCACATCTTAAGCTTCTCTCCCACCCCGCCTCCTGCTTCCTGCACATCTGCAGCAGCAGCACACGATGGCTCGAGCAGTTGGGAGTCCAGAGCAGGGTGACTTTGACCCAAACCCTCCCCTCCAGTAGCAAGGCGTACCCCGGATGCAGAAATAAAAGGGACCCACCCGAACATAGAAAAGCAGGAGCTATCGCCTCAGAGCTTGCTGTTGCAAAAGAGTTGGTCACGGTCACTTTGGCAGAGGCTCAAAGGCGAACAGGGCAGAGGGAGACTTCTGGAATGGAAGAAAGGAAACTTGGGTATACCACAAGGCTCACCCTATGCAGGTGGGTAAGGGAACAAACTGACCTTTCTCTGGTTGGTCCTAAATTGGAAGCAAGGTTAGAAATAGGGAAGCTGGTTCTTGCTAAGCGACAGCTGTGCTGGACTGCTTACTGCACAATCGCGGTTCTTTTTGCATAAGCTCTGGGTCCCTTTGCTCGGCCTCGCAGGAACGTGTCAGTGATCTTGAGTGCAGGTGAAAGTCCATCTCCAGCACTTGAACCTCAGCCCCGACCACCCCGACGCCACTGACAAAGGTCAGGCCTCAGACGCCCTCCCTTAGTTTGCGCTCCCCGGGTCCTAGCTGTAGTGATTACAACTCCTTACTAAAGATGAACTCCCATAACCAGCTCAGTGCGGGCCCAGCTTTGAGACGCTTTGCAGGAACTCCAAGCCCTGATCAAACAGCGAGAAACCATCTACCTGCAGACCCCAGACGGTCGAAAACGCACTCTGCCATCACGGCATCTTCAGCAGACCAAATCCAGGGAGGCCACAGCGCTGTGGGCCAACCGCAGGCCCGCGCAGATGCTCCTCTTTCACTTTTTCAGATTCACAGCCCTCCCTTAAACCTCTCCTGGATTCCGGGAGCTGAGAGACGCCTGGCTCTGCGCTCAGGGCAAATAAGCTCTCTCACTTTCTTGCACCACCCCCAGTGTCTGTAACTGGCTAGTCGCACTTTTGGCAAATTGAGATTTGAGGGTTAACAATTCCTCCGGTCAGTTTGGGGACTTGAGGGTCTCAAAGTTGGTGCACCGCAGGCAGAGAACCAAGTCAATTATACTCATTGCTACAGTTTGTGTTCAAAACTGTAAGGAAAAAGATATATATATTTCCTTTTTAAAACGATGAGAGGCAAACCCGCCACCTCCTGGGCGAAGAAGGGATCGCAACCCACAGCAACAGGATCCGCAACCGTAAAACCTTGGCGCCCTGTTCTCGTCTGGAGAGAAGGGCCCGCGCCACCGCGTTCCCGGGAAGCCGGGGCGAGTGGAGGGCCCTCGGAGCTGCACCCGAGGTCCCCCGGCAGCCGAGACGCGGCGGGTGCGAGACCCGTGCGCCCCGGCAGCGGGTGCCCGGTGACCCGGGGGGCGCGGCGGCCCGCCCACGCGCGCAAGCGCGCAGCCGTTGCGGAGCGAGCCGTTTGCCCCGGCAGCGGTTTCGCCGCGCGAGGCTCGGGGAGGCTGCGGGCGGGCGGCTTCGGTGGCCGGCCGGGCGCTCGGCCCACCTGCGGCCGCGGCGTGCGCCTCCCGGTAGGGCGCTCGGTGAGTCGGTGACCCTACCCAGCAGCCGCCTGGAGCGCGCCTGCCCCTGGGGAAGCCGGCTTAGGCCGGAGTGGGCGGAATTCAGGGCAGGTGGGGCTGGATGGCAGGCTGCAAACAGGGGGCTCGGCAGGTGTCCCGGAGCGAGGGCGGGAGCGGGGAGAGGGGACAGAGTCCCCCGCCGAGTCCCCCTTGAGCTGCTTTCGCGGCTCCCGGGAGTCTCCCGCTGGGAATAACGCAGTGGTCTTCCCCACGTCCAGGGTCCGTGGCCATGAACCCCGTGGTCGTGGTCCACGGCGGCGGCGCCAGCAATATCTCCAAGGACCGGAAAGAGCGAGTGCGCCAGGGGATTGTCAAGGCCGCCACCGAGGGCTACGCGGTGCTCCAGGCGGGCGGCAGCGCCGTGGACGCGGTGGAAAGAGCCGTGACTGTCCTGGAAGACGACCCCGAGTTCAATGCAGGTAGTACTCCATCGGGACCAGCTCCCCGCACCCCAGAATACACGGGCCCTTTCCGGGGTGTCGATTTCCCGAAGCCTGGCGGCTTTGTGGCGAGAGCAGATGGAGGGGGAAAGAAGTAATATTTCATGTTACTTTTTCTGCCCGTTGATCAAGTTGCTTTAAGAATTTGGTCCATTAGTTCAGTCTTTCCTTATGTAACCTGCCTCCTAGAATTCACGTTCTCATACAGCTGCTTTGGAGAGGGAGGGATTGGGTCTAGATTCCTATACTGCTATAAGCTGTATCCCTTTAAGCTTGTGAAAAACACATAGGCTTGTTTAACCAACTCCTTAACCAAGATTTAAAACATCTCTGTCCTTTCCCTGTAATAGAAGAAATCCATGGATAGCGGTTGTTTTTTTTAAGATTTATTTCTATTTGAAAGTCAGATTTACCGAAAGAGACACACAAAGAGATCTTTCATGTGCTGTTCATTCCGCAAATGGCCACAACAGCTGAAGCTCTGAAGCTGGGCTGGTCCGGAGCCAGGAGCCAGGAGCCAGGAGCCTCCTCCAGGTCTCCTATATGGGTGCAGGGGCTCAAGGACTTGAGCCATCCACCACTGCTCTCTCAGGCACATGAGCTAGGAGTTGGATCGGAAATGGAACAGCCAGGACTGGACCCATTTGGGATGTTGGCTCCCAGTGGCAGAACTTCAACCTGCCACCCCAAGCTCCGGCATAGCTTTGCCTAATACATATTTGAATGCTTCTCAGGGATTGCACTATTGTTGCGCCTGCAGAAGTGTGTATGTTGTCATTCTGTCTTCCGTGAATTTGTTGAAGTGCCTGACTTTGTCCTTGCTGAACAGTTGTGCCAGGAGGATTTTTCCTGTCTTGCCCGTGACCTCTCCAAGTTCCCCCAGCTGCCTGGAGCATCCTTAGTTCTGGTGAGGTGATTCTTGGTGGGCTCCCGGTTAGGGGGCCAGGCCAATGTAAAGACCAAATCCTGCTCAATGTTTGGAAGTTTGAGTTCCCCACCCCCACCCCCAGGAAAGGGAGAGTGAGGTGAGGTTGGGTCCGTAATGGTGCCTGTATGGTGAAGCTTTCTTGTGGTTGGGGGGCTCCGGAGGGTGGCACAGTCCAGCTCCCCTGGGCAAAAGCCCAGGGCCCTGCCAGCCCCGTCAGCCCCTGTCCATGTGTTTTCCTCTGTTTAACTGTCTCTGTTCTTGGTTTATGTAACCACTCGGCAAATATCGTAAACCCAGGTGGTGGTGGTGGCATTGCATTTGTAACCAAGTTGTCATCTGAAAGGGATGGGGCAGTCTCGTGGGACTGAGCTCTCAAGCTCTTGGCTCTAGCTCTGCCTCCAAGAAGCTGGTTTCTGAATTACGGTGATGAAGCACACACACACACACACACACACACACACACACACACACACACCTCTGGAGTCAGCTGTGAAGGCTTTTTGAGGACTTCTCATCAGCATGGATTCACGGTGTTGCTGTTTGCACCTGCAGAAGTGTGTGTGTCGTCATTCTGTTTGCCGTGCATTTGTTGAAGGCCTCGCTGTGTTTCTGCCTGGTTTTGTCAGTGCTGAACGGACGCGGATGCGCTAGGAGGGTCCTTCCTAATCGTGCTTGAAGGAACCCTGCAAAACTCTGCAGTTAAATCCTCACCTCTCCCTCCCTTTTACCCAAGCGCCCACTGACGCGCTCCCTTCACCAAGGATGGACATGCATTTTCTAGACGGGTACATAGGCACAGCCACACTGGCCGTATGCTGGTGTGGGCTTGTTCCTTCAAATCTACCCTTTTGGAAGGTGGTTGTCACAGAGGTGTGTGTTACGTACCACGTGATGGTCTAAGAAGCAGAAATGATTTGTTCAGTGTGTGCGTTGTTCCTGTGAGTTAGGAACAGTTGGCATGCTCCTGCTCAGACACGAAAACTAAGGTTCAAAAAGAGGCAGCAGTCTGCTGACAGGCACTGTCGCTTGGCCCAGCCTTGCCTGCGGGCAGACGTGTGGGGACTGAGCCATCTTCCAATGGACAGTCTTTGCTGCTCTGTCTTCCAAACAAATATAAATAAGATTTTTTTGAAAAAAAAGCTTTGGGGGAGAAACTCATGCCATCTATGGTTTTTTCCGTTTGCTTTTCCCAGCGGAGGTCGGTCCAAGCAGGAGGCAGTGTTCCCAGCCTGGAGCGAGCAGGCTGCTCCCCGGGAGTTTGCATGCCCCGCACGCAGCAGCCTCACAGCGTGTTTGTGAAAACACATTCCTTTGGTGTTTCAATCCGGATGTCACTCTGTGAGGGAAATTCGCTCCCATCACACTTGGGTTATTTGAAAGTAACCTTTTTATTCGATACAACAGTGTAAACATTAAACTTTGAGATCTGGATACTGGAAATGTTCTTTACAGATTCTCTGGGCTGGCTGCCAGGGAGTGACTCTCCGTTTCCGTCAGCCTTTGGGCAGTATTTACGCTGAACTTGAGATAATTAATTATTCTCTCTACGACTCAATTTTATAAACTGTCAGAGAGCCTTTGGGATAAAAGGGGGTTTGTGCCTTCATTTATCCGTCTTTCTGAACTCCTTGTTATGTGACATCTATAAGGTTGAAATCTAGGGACCAGCGGGCTAATCCTGGGCCCTGTGGTGCCAGCATCCCCAATGGGCACGGGTTCAAGTCCTGACTGCCCCACTTCCCAATCCAGCTCTCTCTCTTAGGGCCTGGGGAAGCAGTGGAGGCTGGCTCAAGCCCTTGGGCCTCACATTCACAAGCTGCCGACCTTGACCGTGAAGAAGCGCCTGGCTCCCACCTTCAGATCAGCTCAGCTCTGGCCATTGCAGCCATTTGAGAAGTGAACTGGCAGATGGCAAGCCTCTCAGTCTCTCCTTCTCTCTGTAAAAGCTGCCTTCCAAATGAAAAAAAAAAAGTAAATATAAATAAATCTTTTTAAAAAATAATGATGTTTAAAAAAAAAAGTGATGGTATCCAGGAAGTATTTTTTGGTTTTTTGTTGTAAATGTTTGAGGTACATCAGGCGTTCGCATCTACAGGCCTTAAAACCACAGAATTTCAACAGATTTTGCTTTTTAATGTGATTTGGATGCCACAAAATACCCTTTTTGTTGTACGGCTGCATGGCTGTGACCAACCCATGTATAACGGTCTTCAGAAAGTGTGGAAACTATGTCATGAGATAAGTATGTATAGATGCCAAAAACAAATCATGTTACAATAAATGTATCCAATTGCGTTTTCCGGCAGGCCGGGTAAGGTTATGGCAAGCATGGCAGGCCGGGTAAGACTGTAGCCAGCATGGCAGGCCGGGTAAGGCTGTAGCCAGCATGGCAGGCCGGGTAATATTGTGGCAAGTGATGTGTGACACCTTTGTACGTGCTTGCTTGCCTCTGCCTGTCTTATTTGGAGAAGCATCTGAGTCTTATTGATTTTTTTTAAGATGTATTTTATTTTTTATTGCAAAGTCAGATATACAGGGAGGAGGAGAGACAGAGAGGAAGATCTTTCATCCGATGATTCACTCCCCAAGTGGCCGCAACGTCCAGAGCAGCGCCGATGCAAAGCCAGGAGCCCGGAGCCTCTTCTGGGTCTCCCACACAGGTGCAGGGTCCCAAGGCTTCAGGGCATCCTCGATGCTTTCCCAGGCCACAAGCAGGGAGCTGGATGGGAAGCTGGGCTGTCGGGATAGGAAGCAGCGCCCGTATGGGATCTGGCGTATTCAAGGCGAGGACTTTAGCCGCTAGGCCACGGCACCAGGCCCTTGATTTTTTGGTTTGTTTGTTTTAAGGTTTCTCTTTGTGTGTCCCTGGCAGATGTTACATCTCATGCCTGCATGCGATGTGCCAATATTTTCTTGCAGTCTGGGACTTGGCTTCCTTCCAACAGAGTGGAAGTTCTCCGTTTTATATACATGAAGCTCATGGCCTGTTGTTGTTAGTGGGCCATGTTTCCTGTAGCATCTTTTTAAAAGTATTTCCCAACCCAGGATTACAGACGTTTTCCCTCATGTCATGGAAGTTTTAGGCCTCCGCTCCATCTTGAATACATTTTTGTCTATGGCACAAGGTATGCTTCAGGATCACTTTTTTGTGTCGCTTGAAAAGGTGTACAGGAAAGATAAATTGTTTATGTTTTAGACTCTCGCGAAGTGCTTGTGGCCTCATCATGTGCAGGAGTTTTCTCCCACACCAGCCAGTTCTCCGGCTGATGCAGCACGAGCTATGCGGCATCCTGAGGGTCAGTCGGGACCTGCCTGCGGTTACTGCAGAACGCACAGCCTGGGGTTTGCTTTCACACTACCCTTACCCACCGAACACCGGTCATAGGCAGGGGACCTCAGCTTACTCAGACTTTTGCCGAGCCAAATCAGATTTAACAACTTGTAACCGCAGCTTACGGAACTCCGAGGAAGACCGTCTATTAGGAAGAGTACAGTAACAGATGCAGATTATCAGAGCCCGAGGAGACACGTCCACTTGTTTCTTCTTCCTTCCTTCCTTTCCTGGGTTGGAAGTGGAGTCGTGATCAGCTCTTTTCCTTCCGCACTTAAAAACGTGGCACCCATTCCTTCCATCCCCGCTGGATTCATCACTGAAGTTCTTTCCCCTTACCGGGAAGGTAGCGTTCCTCTCGCTCGCTTTTTCCCAAGATCTTTAATCCTTCTTTTTCAGTTGTCGGTCTCGGCGTGAATTCCTTTGAGCCTGCCTCTGTTCAGGATTTGCTCTGCTCCTTGGATTTGTGGAGTTGATGCCTTTTGCCAAATACGGGGGATCTTCAACCTTCGTTTCTTGGAATCGTTTTCAGAGTCGAAGTGTTTAGACCATCTCCATTTAAGGCGATTGTGGATGCTATGGGGTGTAAATCTGTCACCTGGGCGTTTGCTTTCCATTTGTCCCATCTAGCTTTTGGTCTTTTTTTTTTTTTCATGTTTTTCTTTTATGGCCTCCTTTGGAATAGCTGAGTATGGTTTAAGAGGCCGTCATTATCTCCCGTGTTGGTTTGGTGAGACGCTGTGGATTGTTCTGGCGTGTGTCTGCAGCTGTCGGCCTGGCGGCCTGGCCGTGGAGTGATGTGCTCACCCCCCTTCCTGCAGTGAGAGGACCTCACAGCCACAGCGTGCCTCTCGCCAGCCCGCCTGCCCCTTACCCTCCCGCCCCTTCCTAGCCTTCCTGCATTGCACAGTACGTTGTTACAACTTTTAAAGACACTGTGAGTTAGAGGGAGCTTATTTGTATTTATCTTCCTGTTCAGAAGGACGTTCACATTTCTTGAGTCACACATCTGTTACAGATGATTTTTTTTTAACTTACTTTTGTCCATCTGAAGAAGTCTTGGTTTTTGCCTTTTGGAAGATCCTTCCACTGGGTGTGGAATTCTTACTTGGCACGGCTTTGTTTCTGGCCGCACTGTGAAGATCCTGCTCCGGGTGGGCGTTTGGCTCAGTCATTAGGATGCTGCTTGAGACACCCGCATCCCAAATCAGGCGGCCTGGGTTCAAGTCTCGCTTCCACTTTCAACCCAGGTTCCTGCTAACGCAGCAGGGGATGGTTCAGGTTCCTGGACCCCAGCCACCGACATGTGAAGGCTACCTCTTCTCACTAGGCCCAGCACAAGGTTTTGTAGTGTTGCAGGGAAGTGAACATGGCAGGTGGGAAGTGTACTGCCACCCCAAGCACCACTCTCACTCCCCACCCTCTCTCTCCCTTCTACCCACCATCTCTCTGCCTTTTAAATAAAGTGGAAATACATTTTTTGAAAGATTTATGTATTTTTATTTGAAAAGTAGAATTAGAGAGAAAAGGAGAGAGAGAGAGAGAGAGATCTTCTGTCTGCTGCTTCATTCCCTAAGTATTCACAACATGCAGAGTTGGACTGGTCCCTGGCCGGAAGCTGAGAGCCAGCAGCTTCATCCAGGTCTCCCACACAAATGCAGGGACCCAAGCACGTGCCATCCTCCGCTGCTTTCCCAAGCACACCAACAGAGAGTTGGATCAGAAGTAGAGCTGCCAGGACTGGAACTGGTGTCCGTAAGGGATGCTGACGCCAACAGGCCGGGGATTAGCCTCTTGTGTCACTGCGCCAACCCCAAACAAATAAATCTTTTTTAAGTTGTTCCAGCATCTTCTGGCTTGCCATGTGTCTGACAGCAAGTCTATAATCATTCCTTTTTCCCTTTTGCTCGTGGCTGCCTCTAAGAAGCCCTCCCCGCTAGCAGTGTGTTGTTGCGTCCTGAGTTTAGTAGTTTCAGCATTTTTCTGTTGTTTTGGAATGCTGCTCAGATCTGTGAGTTTACAATCGTCATCTATTTTTTTTTTTGATTACTCATTATTGTCACTTTTTTATCCCTCATTCTAATGACTCCAGTTGTTACGTTAAGCTGCTTGAAGTTTTCCCTGAGCACAAAAATTGTTGTTCTTATGTTGTTGCTGTTGCCTTGTCGCACATCAGTTACGTAGCATCTTGTGCTGCCGTGTCTAATTCAGCGTTAACCCGGTGTATTTTCACTTCAGACTTCATTCATTTCCAGTTTCAGGCTCTGTTCGGATCCTTTGTGTGTGTGTGCCTCTCCATCCCGGGACACGTGACACACAGTTAGAAAGCTGGTGTCGCAGCCTTGCCTACCGAGTATCAGTTTCCCTGGGTGCCTGGTGCCTTCTTACCGGATACCCAACGTGGGGCCCCTCCCTGGGGCGGGCCCCAGTGTGTCTGCCGTGCTGAGCTCTGGGCAGATGGGATCCCAGAGAACAGTTGGTCCCATTTGAGATTTGTCCTGAAGGTTTGTTAGCTGAGACCAAGCAGGGGCCTTTGCCGGAGCCTGACTTGCCCCTGGTGACACGGGCGCCACGGCCGGAGGTGCGTGTCAGTGATGTCGGTGCACTGCTGCTGCCGTGGGCCCGGTGCGGTGGCCTCACCCAGGCCCTGCTGGTTCATGCCCGTGCACTCAGCTGCAGGCTCCAGCTCCTCTGCCAGGAGAGCCCTCACTGTATTCTCTCTCTCTCTCTCTTTCCTCCCTCACTCTGGAAAATCACAGGATTTTCTGTCCCTTGAAAGCGCCCTGGAGGGGAAGCTGAAGCAGTGTAGGGCACCCCTCTTGGTTTCTGTTCTCGCGGGTCTGCACAGCCTGGAGGTGTCTGAAGCATGTCCGAAGGAACCCTGTCCGGTGCTCTGTCCGCCTGTGTAAGGCCAGCTTCCATCCTGCTCTTGTAACTCTCTTGGCTACAAGTCTCCCCACTTCAGCTTTTATTGTTGCACTAAATCTCCTATTCTGTGTTTCTTCCTTCTCAACCGAATACAAAACCTTTCAGAGAGTTCTGTGAGCTCTAAGTAATTACTGCTTGGCTAGCGAGGAGTCTTTTTCTTGTGCCTTTTTTCCTGCACGGCTTACCATGACCCTCAAACGTCCCAGTTCAGCTTCTCCCAGTGTCTCCTAATACCGTACATTTTGTATAAAACGATTCTGTTGCACTTGCTTCCTTTTTATGAGCATGCATTCGGTATAATACAGTACACTGTGTGCTGACGTAGCAGACAACGTAACAGTACTTTTTTTTGTAGCCATCATATAGATTTTTTTCTTTCCTTAATACAAACCCAGCCAAAGAAATTAGTATTGCCATAACCCAAGTGTGACAAAGTTCTCAAGTTTGACTTTCTTAGTCTCTTGCTTCCACATTAGCCAAGCAAATGGATTAGAGTTCCCCGAAATAGTAAAGAATCCCATCATAGGGTCCAGCATAGTGGCGTAGCAGCTAAATCCTCGCCTTGCACGTGCCGGGATCCCACGTGGGCCCCAGTTCATGTCCTGGCTGCTCCACTTCCCATCCAGCCCCTGCTTGTGACCTGGGAAAGCAATAAAGGCTGACCCAAACCCTTGAGAGCCTGCACCCACATGGGAAACCCGGAAGAAGCTCCTGGCTCCTGGTTTATGATTGGCTCAGCTCTCACTCTCTCTATAAATCTTGCTTTCCAATAAAAATAAATAAATCTAAAAAAAAAAAAATCGAGCTACATCACAGCATCTGTGTCCATTTCCTGGCTCTGCTGTCAATTCCAGATTCCTGCTAGCGCAGACCCTGGGAGGCTGGCAGCCATGTGGGCTCCGGCTGCTGGATCCCCGCCACTGCCCGCGCGGGAGACCCGGATAGAGTTCCTCACTTCCAGGCACAGCATGTTCCTCCCCTGTGGGAACTAGAGTAAACCCGTAGGCGGGGGTATGTTCCCACTGTCTGGCTCTGGCTGTCTGTCCTTCTGCCACTCGTGTTAAAAAAAAAAAAAAGAGAGAGAGAGAGAGGAAAGACAAGATGAATAAAGAAAAAAAATGTTATTTCACTTAAATTATCAATCTGAAAAAAAAAATCTTAGACGCTGGTGTGGTTGTGCAGTGGGTTAAGCCCCTGCTGTAAGTGCAGGTCCAAGTCCCAGCTGCTCTACATACACGTCCAATTCCCTGCCACTGTGTCTGGGGAGGCAGTGGAAGGTGGTGGCCCGAGTCCCTGGGTTCCTGCTGCCCATGTGGGAGACTCAGATGGAGCCCCAGCCTCCTGGCTCTGGCATGGCTCTCCCATCGCCTCCCTCCAGCCTCCCTCCCCCTCTCCAAGTTTAAGTTGCCTTCTGGTAATGAAGCAGAGGATGAATTACAGGGGACAGATTGGAGGAACATACTGAGCCCTACCAAACGCTTAACTCTGACTCTTAACCTCTTGGTTTCAGGCCACGGGTCCGTGCTGAACGTAAATGGTGAAGTAGAAATGGATGCTAGCATCATGGACGGGAAAGACCTGTCTACGGGAGCGGTGTCTGCAGTCCGCGGCATTGCCAATCCCATCAGACTGGCACGGCTTGTCATGGAAAAGGTAGCCGTGGCACCAGGCTTCTTGCTAAGGACTCGCTGAACTGCAGTGGTAACGGGAGCTGACCCGAGAGGGGCTGTCCCCCAGCTACATGCAGGAAGAGCCGCAGCAGTGTTCTGCGCTTCTCAAATCGGCCAGGGTGCTGACTGTTGACACTAGCCAGCCCTGGGCACGTGATTCCTGAATCTTCCTGAATCTTCTTCAAGCACCTGCATGCTAAATAAGTAGACTGTTCGGTTGTATGTATCAAATAAAAACATACAGGGGCCAGTGTTGTGGCACAGCAACTTAAACTACTGCCTGTAATGCAGGCACCCCATATGAGCAGTGTTTCAAGTCCTGGCTGCTCCGCTTCTGGTCCAGCTCCCTACGGATGCTCCTGGGAGAGCTGTGGAAGATGGCCCAAGTGCTTTGGGCACCACGCCCAGCACCCACATGGGAGACCCTGATGGAGTTCAAACAGTCCATCCCTTTAGAGGATTTTTTTTTTCTGAAAATGCAAAAGCCCAGGCACCCACACAATTGGAACACTTGAAGAGATTTAAAATGTAAAAACACTAAAAATGCTTTCTTTTCTTTGTGCTTCAGACACCCCATTGCTTTCTGACGCACCAGGGTGCGGCCAAGTTTGCAGCCGAGATGGGGATTCCGGAGATTCCTGGAGAAAAACTGGTCACCGAGAGGAACAAGAAACACCTGGAAAAAGAGAAGCAGGAGAAAGGCGCTCGGAGGCCGGACTGTGAGAAGTAGGTCCCATCTGCCGCTCACCGTTTCCGGACTTGCTCCCGGTGACAGTTGGGCAGGTCCCTGCTTAGGCACAGACTGGCCTTTTCTGATTGCTGAAGCTCATCTCCTTCATTCCCCCCGGGGGTGGTAACTCGACGCTGGGTTCCAGCTCGTGGTCTCACGGGAGCCATGACGGGTACCGTAGGGAACTGTGGATCCCTTGGGGTCTCATGGCGTGGGACGCAGGAGCACTGTGACATTAAAAAAAGGCACAGGGGACCAAGGATCAGGAGCCCAAGGCAAAAAGTTGCTTGCAAGCTTTCCTTGTATCAGTTCTCCCCAGGTCTCTGCGTAACCTTCCAGGACGGACAAGGGTATTTTCGCTGTGAGAATACCTGGTCTTCTGGTTAGTGAGACGTAGTTTGCATGGTAACTGTAGTCATGAACACGCAAGGCAGTGCTCCTAAAATGTTTCCTGGTTCTCATGAACTTGCCTTCCTTTTTCTAGGCTGTTAGGCCACAGTTGTTTTCCAAGGAGTAAAAGCAAGCCTCGTGGGGAGTGGGCCAGAGAGCATTGTGGCAGACGCTGTCACCTAGGCAGTGTTCTGAGGGGGCCGTTCCTGTGCCCACCTTCAGGTACTTGTTCAGGCCTTCCCAAGAACAGTGGCACTCCCAAGGTTCACCCCAGTTACCAGGTGCTCAGCGCGAGCCCCTCCAAGCCCCTCATAGCTACGCCACTTCGTGGGTGCTTCTTCTGAGCAGGTGCTCTGTGGCCAACATACCGGAGAAACCTGCCCAAGCACTACCGAGTACAACCCTTAGGACACTAAATCCTGTGGTCAACGTTACAGCTTTCCTGCAGTTCAGGTTTCAGAATCCCCCAGAAAGCCCCCTTATCTAAGACTAATTTTGAAAATGAAATTTGAGTACGATATGAGAATCCATAGTGGAAATCAGCGTATTAACTCCTCAGACTTCTCAGCGAGGGAATGTTTAACCGTGTGTTTTTCAAAACGTGCATGTCTGGTCTCCTTCCCTAGAGAGTTGGATTGAACAAGACTTAAGGTGGAAAAGCCAGGCAGGTATAAGATGAAAAGGCTTCCCAGGTGCTTCTGATGCATTCCCCACCTTAAAACTGATTTTCACAAGGTTTGCTGCATGGTGATGGCTGGCAATAGTTTTACCAAGTGTGTTACTGTGTTACTGCGTCTGTGGGCTGGCGTCAGGGGAGACCAGTGACCGCCTGGGTGCCTTCTTTACAAAAAGCAATGGAGGCTTTCTAAGTTTATGATTCAAAATGTTGTGAAACACCAAACAGGTGATTAAGACAAAACTGATGTAGTATACTGCCATCCAGGATGGATAATTCAAGCAGGTTATTAATGGGAAGGATCATAAAATGAGAAGTGAAATCATATAGGGGCCGGCACGATGGCACAGTGGGTAAAGCCACCACCTTTGGTGCCAGCGTCCCATCTGGCCACAGGTTTGAATCCCAGCCACTCCACTTCTGACCCAGCTCCCTGCTAACGTGCCTGGGAAGGCAGCAGAGGATGGCCAAGTGCTTGGGCACCTGCACCCATGTGGGAGACACGAAGTAACCCCTAGCTCCTGGCTTCAGGTCGGCTCAGCTGTGGCCATGGTGGCTATTCAGAGTGTCGATCGGCAGATGGAAGATCTCTGTATCTCCCTCTTTTCTCTCTTTGTAACTCTGCCTTTCAAATAAATAAGTATTTTTTTAAATAAATAAGTAAATCACAGAAAATGCTTTAAGCAAAAACAATTGGAATGGGCATCTTGACGCAGAAATGAAGTCTCAACTTGGGATGTCCAGTGTCGTTTGTAAGTCCATCACTTAGTGTTGGGGTGTGGCCATGTAGAAATGATTTCCAAATCTGAGCGTTTCATTAAGAACTTTGTGGGTAACTACGGTTGCTGCTGGCACAGCAGAGTAGAACTTTTCTAAACTAAAATTTGTTTAAAACTTGCCAAGAACACTTGGATGTCTCGCCTGCTATCTTGTCAGTATAATTTAGATTTTGTGGACGTGTTGCCTGCAGACACAAAGTCACCTCCCACTGAAATGAAAACAAGAAAAATGACCTTTATGGGATGCATGCACGGCCAGGGCCGAGGCGTGAGCATCCGTCCCTGTTCCCTCCCTCGTGTGCCGTCACCGGGTGGTCAGTCATCATTGGCACTTGATCAGCCTTCAGTCCTATGAAAACGTAGCTTTCCATTCGGTGTTTTTTTTTTTTTTTCCAGATACAGCAGCAGTATGGAGGTTCCTAAGTAATTAAAAAAAAAAATAGAAATGCTGTGTTGCCTGACACTTCCCCTTCTGGGCGGACACCAGGGAAGTGTGCCGATGGCTTTCTGTGCGGTGCGGTGGTTCGCAGCAGCCAGGGCGGGTTCCAGCTGCCGCGTGCACGGGGCTGCAGGTGAACACAGCAGCCGGGGCACGCATGCAGTGAGGCATGGCTCGACCTCTAAACAGCGAGACCTGCCGCTTGCAACAATGCACACGGACGCAGAGGACGGCCGTGAGGCGGTGTGGACTCTGCGCGAGTCAGGGAACCACGGGAGAACCTCACTAAGGGGGGGATCTGAAACAGGCCAGGTGTTACTTGGGCTGTTGCTGGTGGCATGGAGGAAGGAGAGAGGGAAAGCCCAAGGGCACGGAGGGACAGTGCGTTTAAGGTGAGTGGGTCTGGAGCTGGAGTGTGCGTTTAAGGTGAGTGAGTGTGGAGCTGGAGTGTGCGTTTAAGGTGAGTGAGTGTGGAGCTGGAGTGTGTGTTTAAGGTGAGTGGGTCTGGAGCTGGAGTGTGCTCTCACAGGACTGTAGTTAAGCGCGTATACTGGAAACGGGCTGAGATCTCAGCACACACAGCGGAAGGTAACCGGGCAAGGCTGATGCTTGTTAAGCGTAGTAACCATTTCACTATGCATCTTACCACAGCGAAAGCCATTACGGAATATAGCCAATAAAAATAGATGCGTATAGATGATCTCTAACTGAACAGTGGTTCCAAGCCAGGATTTCTTTACCTTTGTGTGGCAAAAGCACCCAGCGTTCAGTAGGAATAATATTTCGTGTTTTGCATTTTGATGTGACCTCAGGCTGGAGGGTGAGATTTGATACCATCCCTGCTGGGGGCCCTGGAGAATGATTCTCCTGCACACCAGAGTTTGAGACGTGTGTGTGTGTGTGTGTGTGTGTGTGTGTGTGTGTGTGGTGTTGTTTCGTGAGACGAAGTTAAAACTTCGCGGAGGCCACACAGCTAGAAAAGGCTGCAGAGCTGGTAAAGCTGCGTCCCACTGAGACACGTGGTAACCCGCCTGGAACGAACAGACTCGCAGACCTTCCCAGGGGTCTGGACAGTCTGGACCAAACAGCATCCCGTCCACACGCACATGTAACCTGCAAGTTGAACTTTAAGTCACGCCGCCGGCTGCAGGAGTGCGTCTCGTCTCCAATTGTCACTTTTGTCCTGTTTGTTTTCGGCAGGAACTCGGGCACCGTGGGCGCCGTCGCCTTGGACTGCAAAGGCAATGTGGCTTACGCCACATCCACAGGTGGCACCATCAACAAGATGGTGGGCCGTGTCGGAGACTCACCGTGTGTAGGTAGGACTGCTGGCCTCTCCAGCCTTGCCCCTGGGCCTCCGTCCCAGCCTTGCGAGGCGGGGGTACTGTAACACCCTGCACCTCTGCTCACCAGCTGTACTGTAACACCCTGCACCTCTGCTCACCAGCTGTACTGTAACACCTGCACCTCTGCTCACTGACTGTACTGTAACACCCTGCACCTGTGCTCACTGACTGTACTGTAACACCCTGCACCTCTGCTCACCGGCTGTACTGTAACACCCTGCACCTGTGCTCACCGGCTGTACTGTAACACCTGCACCTGTGCTCACTGACTGTACTGTAACACCCTGCACCTGTGCTCACCGACTGTACTGTAACACCCTGCACCTGTGCTCACTGACTGTACTGTAACACCCTGCACCTGTGCTCACCAACTGTACTGTAACACCTGTACCTGTGCTCACCGACTGTAACACCTGCACCTCTGCTCACCGGCTGTACTGTAACACCAGCACCTGTGCTCACCGACTGTAACACCCTGCACCTATGCTCACCGATTGTACTGTAACACCTGTACCTGTGCTCACCGACTGTACTGTAACACCCTGCATCTCTGCTCACTGACTGTACTGTAACACCCTGCACCTGTGCTCACCGGCTGTACTGTAACACCCTGCACCTCTGCTCACCAACTGTAACACCTGTACCTCTGCTCACTGACTGTACTGTAACACCTGCACCTCTGCTCACTGACTGTACTGTAACACCCTGCACCTGTGCTCACCAACTGTACTGTAACACCCTGCACCTGTGCTCACCAACTGTACTGTAACACCCTGCACCTGTGCTCACCGACTGTAACACCCTGCACCTCTGCTCACCGGCTGTACTGTAACACCTGCACCTGTGCTCACCAACTGTACTGTAACACCTGCACTTGTGCTCACCGACTGTACTGTAACACCTGCACCTGTGCTCACTGACTGTAACACCTGCACCTCTGCTCACCGGCTGTACTGTAACACCCTGCACCTGTGCTCACCAACTGTACTGTAACACCCTGCACCTCTGCTCACCGACTGTACTGTAACACCCTGCACCTCTGCTCACCAACTGTACTGTAACACCTGCACCTGTGCTCACCAACTGTACTGTAACACCTGCACCTGTGCTCACCGACTGTAACACCTGCACCTGTGCTCACCGGCTGTACTGTAACACCCTGCACCTGTGCTCACCGACTGTAACACCCTGCACCTGTGCTCACCGACTGTAACACCTGTACCTGTGCTCACCGACTGTACTGTAACACCCTGCATCTCTGCTCACTGACTGTACTGTAACACCCTGCACCTGTGCTCACTGACTGTAACACCTGCACCTGTGCTCACCGGCTGTACTGTAACACCCTGCACCTCTGCTCACCAACTGTAACACCTGTACCTCTGCTCACTGACTGTACTGTAACACCTGCACCTCTGCTCACTGACTGTACTGTAACACCCTGCACCTGTGCTCACCAACTGTACTGTAACACCCTGCACCTGTGCTCACCAACTGTACTGTAACACCCTGCACCTGTGCTCACCGACTGTAACACCCTGCACCTCTGCTCACCGGCTGTACTGTAACACCTGCACCTGTGCTCACCAACTGTACTGTAACACCTGCACTTGTGCTCACCGACTGTACTGTAACACCTGCACCTGTGCTCACTGACTGTAACACCTGCACCTGTGCTCACCGACTGTACTGTAACACCCTGCACCTGTGCTCACCGACTGTACTGTAACACCCTGCACCTGTGCTTGCTGACTGTACTGTAACACCTGCACCTCTGCTCACTGACTGTACTGTAACACCCTGCACCTGTGCTCACCAACTGTACTGTAACACCCTGCACCTGTGCTCACCAACTGTACTGTAACACCCTGCACCTGTGCTCACCGACTGTAACACCCTGCACCTCTGCTCACCGGCTGTACTGTAACACCCTGCACCTGTGCTCACCGACTGTACTGTAACACCCTGCACCTGTGCTCACCGACTGTACTGTAACACCTGCACCTCTGCTCACCAACTGTACTGTAACACCCTGCACCTGTGCTCACCAACTGTACTGTAACACCTGCACCTGTGCTCACCGACTGTACTGTAACACCTGCACCTGTGCTCACCAACTGTACTGTAACACCCTGCACCTGTGCTCACCGACTGTACTGTAACACCCTGCACCTGTGCTTGCTGACTGTACTGTAACACCTGCACCTGTGCTCACTGTCTGTACTCTAGCACCCTGTTCTTGAGCACTCTGTACCTGTGTGCACACCAGCTGTTGCTTAGCGTCTGTGTCCACTGAGACTGGTAACGTGTTTGCATTTTGTCATGCTGTTACTCAGAGCCCATCCCCTGTCTCGGGCAGGATCTGGAGGTTATGCTGACAACAGCATAGGAGCCGTCTCCACCACCGGGCACGGGGAGAGCATCCTGAAGGTGAATCTGGCCAGACTCACTCTCTTCCACGTAGAACAAGGTGTGTGCAACATGCAGCGAGACCAGAAGCCGTGAGCTCTCGCATTCCTCAGCCACTTGATAAACAGGTGGTGAAGTATGTCAAAACCTCTTTATAAAAAGTTCACACCGGGGCTGGCATGGGGATGCAGCAGGCTAGCCCCTCACCTTGGTGCACATCCTGGCTGCTTCACTTCCCATCCAGCTTCCTGCCTGTGGCCTGGGAAATCAGTCAAGGCTGACCCAAAGCCTTGGGACCCTGCACCCATGTGGGAGACCCAGAAGAAGCTCCTGGCTTCTGGCTTCAGATCAGCTCAGCTCCAGCCGTTGTGGCCACTTGAGGAGTGAATCAACAGATGGTCCTTTCTCTCTGCCTCTCCTTCTCTGTAAGGATGCCTTTTAAGTAAAAAAAAAAATATATCTTTTAGAACAAATAAGATGTATTTATCTTAAAATCAGAGAGAGAGATGTTCCATCTGCTGGTTGACTCGTCAAAGGTCTGTGAAGGCCTGAAGTGGCCCAGGACGAAGTCAGGGACCTACCGGGTACTCCGCCTTGATCTCCGACAGGGGTGGTAGGATCGTAGGCACTTGAGCCGTCCCCTTCTGCTCTCCCAGACACGTCAGCAGGGAGCTGGCTCAGAACAGAGGCTGGACCTGCTGCGGCACGGTGCGGCCCGCCTCCCTGCCCTGCTCTCAGTGCTTCGCGCAGGCTGCCAGCACTCTGATGACCTTCCACCCCTGCCGCTCCTGTTAGGGCCTGGCACGAGAGCACGTTGTGTATACTGTTGTCCTCCACCTCCTGGGCCATGAGGGGGGCCGCTCAGCTTAGGCTGACCAGCGTGATGGGGCAGGGAGCTGGCGCCTTCTCTGGAGCATACACGTAGAGGCCACGTGCAGAACTCTCTGAGAACCCCCCCAGGGTGTTTCACATCACCAATGGTTTTTCCATCCGATTCCCTCCAGTTACGTGTGCTTGTTTTGGGTCCCTTTCCTTGATTTCAGGAAAGACGTTGGAAGAAGCTGCTGCCTTGTCGTTGGGTTATATGAAGACCAGGCTCAAAGGCTTAGGGGGCCTCATCGTGGTCAACAAAACAGGAGACTGGGCAGCCAAGTGGACGTCCACCTCCATGCCCTGGGCGGCCGTGAAAGAAGGCCAGCTGCACTTCGGGATTGACCTGGATGACACCAAGGTCACGGAGCTGCCCTAAGCCCTCCCCCGACTGCCGGAAGGTCACGCTGCACCTGCTGGCCGGGACGTAAAGTGCCGCGTCCCGGTGTGAAGGCGTAGCATAGCGAGTTAGATCTAGAAATGGGAAACAATGACACAGTCTGTCGATGGTCTTGTCGTCTTGCTCATCAAGTATCTGGATGTTTGGTTGTGAGGGGAAGAGTTTCAAAGTGACAAGAGGAATGCCGGAGTTGAGGCCAGTGGAGGTGACAAGCTCTTAGGAGCCCTCCTCCCACACAGTGCCCGTGAGTGAGGGAGGGCCACCTGCCCCGACGCAGGGCTGCCTCGGGGGAACCGGGAGACCCGCAGCTGCAGAAGCCCTGCGTGAGACCAAGCGGGAGAGATGGGGACGCCATGGGGACCCTGGGAGTGAGGCAGGAGCCGCGGCACAAGGGATCGTGAGCGACCTCTAGAGAACTGCAAACGTCACTCCGAGTCCAGGAACCTCCAGGAAGAGAATGAATATCCTTCAGAACCGGAGGGGGCGGGGGGGATGGGAGGGAAAGCGGGAAGGTCACCTGTCCCTGAGGGAGAAAATGAGTTTCCTAAGAAAGTCATTTCAGAGGGCCCTCTGGTCACCATGGCTCCCTAATCTGGAGCCCAAGGGTCAGATGGGGCCTCATGGTCACCTGTGGCTTGGATTCCCAGGTGAACCCTCACCTGCTGCGCGCCCCCCCCCCCAGGAGCCAGCATCCACCTGCCACAGGGCTCCGTGCCTCCCCGGCCTCTCCATCAGCAAGGAGCTGGCGTTGAGGTAGACAAGTCCGGGCCAACAAGTGCTCGTCCCGTCCCTTCCCGGGGTTGGGGTTGTGGCCGTGGCCAGCGCAGTGACATCGGTCAGATCCTTGTCGGGGTCCGCTCAGTAACCGCTCACCTCACTGGCAATGACGTTCGTGCTGTTATCCATCTGCTCGATGTGTCGGTCAGCGAGGGCTGACCTTCTCACTGGAAAGAATCCACTTGCCATTGAATTCCGTGTGCCACTAATAAAATGTATTTTGAAAGCATCTCCGTGTGCTTAGGAGTACTCTCGACAAAGGCCCCCCGCGCAGACAAGCCCCCTCTTGATCTCAGTTCAAACAAGGGCACTCGATCGAGAGCGCTCTTGAGACGGGGCTGGGGGGGGGAGTCAGCCTCGAGGCGCCTTGGGTTAAGCCGCTGCTTGGGGCACCGACATCCGTGTCAGAGCACAGGTTTGGAAACCAGGTGCTCGCCCTCCAGCCTAGCTCTCTGTTGATGACCTGAAACAAGGCAGCAGAAAAAGGCCAAAGTGTCTGGGCCCCCACCGCCCACGTCGGGGACCCAGAGGAAGCTCCTGGCTCCTAACACTGCTGGATATTGCATACACTGAGAGAGTGAACCAGTGGTTGGGCTACCTCTGGGGGCTGGGGAGGGACCGGAGGTGTCCCTCTTGGTAACCCAAGCGGAGCAGATCTTTCAGAAAGACAGAAGGATGTCGGGCTGCAGCCTCCTGCCCTCCTGTAGCCTCTGCCCACTGCGTGAATGTCGACAGTTTTTATATCAAAGTAAACTTGAGTTTTTTTATTCCGTTTTCTACAAACTTGAAAACCCCTTGTTTTCAAGACTTTTTCGGAAGAACTGAACCCCAGACTTGGTGCAGTCTGCCGTGCTCACCCCAGACAGGCTCACACAGCTCTGGCCCCCGACTCAAGACCCTCCCTCCAGCCCACATCTGCTGCTGTCAGCTCCCGCAGGGCTGACTCGGGCCCTGCGACTGCCCGTCACCCACGGCACCCTCCAAACCGGGATTGCAGATGCACTTAGAATCAGTGTGCATCGAGGACACGGGTCACCACGCAGCTCCAACATCAGCAAAGAACAGTGCAGTCTGTCCTGTCCATGATCCAGTGGGCACACACGGGAGCCAACCCCAGGAAGGCACTGCTCCTGTGTATGTATTGCTTAAAAACCTCGACACAACAACAACTAACGCTACACGAACGAGTATTTGGGGAGGGCAGGCGATGTGGCGTAGCGGTCTAAGTTGCCACTCATAACACCGCCATCCATGTAAGAGCTCGGGCTCAAGTCCAAGCTACTGTGCTTCTGATACGGCTTCCAGCCGATGTTCCTGGGAAGGCAGTGGAGCATGGCACAAATGCTTGGGCCTCGGCCACCCATGTAAAAGACCCAGATGGCGCTTCTGGCCCCTGGCTTCAGCCAGCCTGAGTCAGACCTAGCTGTTACAGCCACTGGGGAGTGAACCAGCAGATGGAAATTCATAGAGCATTCAGACAAATATTTTAGAGGAAAACTGTCTTGTTAGGAAGTGTTCCTTTGCCAGAGCAACCACAGCCAAAGTCTCCACACTGAGTAGCTCTCGGTTGTGCAGCCAGAAGTTCAAGGTCAAGGTGGCCCCAGGGTTGGTTTCCCTCACACCCTCCCCCGAGACCAGGACTGGGTTTGCAAATGTCTTCCCACGTGTCCTCAGCCAACCTTTCCTGCCTGCACACACATCCCTGGTCCCTCTTTCTGTGCGTGCTCAGCCACAAGCCGAGCTATGGGGTCCCAGAGCTTCAGCGTGAACTCAGCTCAAGGCAGAAGGCAAAGCCAGAGGTGGGCAAGGGGAGAGACCCTGGAGAAGACTGGAAAGGGAACAGCAGCAGAAGGAGGTTGGAATGATTCTTCTCTTCCCAGGGGAAGTAGCCCAGTACTGGAGGACAAAGTTGTCAGCCCTTTTGAACAAAACCTTAAGACCTTGGTTCTATGAAAAGTCACCTCCACCAGCCACGGAATGCCGTCTGTGCGTCGCATGAGCGTGCGGGTCTCCCTCCTGCATCACACAGCTCTGCCAGGGTCCTGCACCAAAATGAGCGAGGATGAGCTATCTCACTAGGCGCCACAAGAGGGCAGCACTCCACCAGACTTCGCGGTTTCTACCACCCCCCCAAGGGAGGCGATTGATTTATTTCTTTTCTTTTCTTTTTTTTTTAATTTTTTTTTCCCTCTACCTTGCATCTGAAGTCTCTGGAAAATTTGGAACGGAAAGAGAGTTCCTGTTCCTGACCTTCATGTTGCACCTAAGTACTGCCATGTGCTTTACAGCAGAATTGTCCAAAAAAGAACAAACACCAGCAAAGGGCGCTGGGAAACTGTCCCAGTCAACAACTGGACCCTGCTCAGCACCCCGGAGGCCTGCTGCTGGGTGCCAGCGTCCATGCGGGAGCAAGGTGGAGTGGCCCAGCTCCTCTTCTCTGTCCTGCCCTCCAGCCAGTGAAAGAGGCTGTCCCTGGGCCACTACCCACACCGTTCGTGAGGTCGGGAGCCCAAGAACCTTGGCTTTGCAGCTGCCGCCCAACCGACTTGTTAGTTCTGCTTTTTGCAGATAATGTTCCAAGCTCTAGGGGCAGTGGAGAGGGAGCGGAAGCCCACAGCACCGGCCCTCAGTGTCCACCAGAGGTGGGGGGTAAGGGTGGCTGACCAAGGGGAGGTGCTCCCGTTCTGGAGTGCCCCCATCTCCCTTCACTTTTCCACAAAGCCATCAGCACGCTTGGGTTTTGTAGCAACTCTGAGGGAATGAGGAGGTGAGTTGAGCCCAGCGGGTTCAGCTCAGCTGGCTAGGAACAGGCAGGCATCTCTCTGTTCTCCCAGTGTCGTCCTGACCTAGAAAGGAATGAGGCGCAGCCCCAGAAGCAAGGAGGAGCGGGGTCAGGAATGGGGTTGGGAGGAAATCGGGCCTGGGACACAGGTGGGGTCGGGCGGAGGTGGGTGCGGCACGGGAGCCCATCTCACGGCTCCCTCCAAAGAACAAACAGCACTGCACGGGAAAACAGCACTTCCACCTGGCCCGAGGCCACACACACACACCCACGAGAACTGAGCCGTAACCATCTCCCGCGGGCCCCTTCTGGGAAGTCACGAACACGCAAGGAGGAGCAGGCCTTCAACCGCGGGGTGAGGACGCCCCATTGGAGCCCCAGCTCCTCCGCTTCGGCTCACGCTGGGAGGCAGGGGACAGTGGCACAAGTGCCTGCAGCCTGCAGCCCACATGGCCCAGGCCCAGATGGAGCTCTTGGCTGCTGGATTCGGCCAGGCCCAGCCTGGAGAGGCAATGAAACGATGCAAGATCGGCCCTTCTTGCCCTCTCTCAACCTATCAAATTATGGGGAAAAAAGGAGAAGCACAGAGCAGATGCTGCCTTCTGGTCCCCGGTCCGACAGCAGCCAGGGTCCGCCCAGGGGGAGCCAGCTGCAAGAGGGTCCCCGAAACAGGCAGGAAGCCAACACATCTGGACAACTTCATTCTCCAAGTTCTGGCATTTTTCCCCAAATATCTTTAAAATGCAATTGGGTTTCCAGTCAAGGGCAGGGGCTGGGCATGAGCCCGGCTGGTGGAGAGAAGCCGCCTGGGGATGCTTTTTCCTCCGATCACTGACCATCCCAGAGTTGACTGGCTTTTGCTCTGTGGCAACCCACACTTTTCTGGATCCTTTGCAGAATCCAGATTGGGGGAGGGGCGGGGTTTAAATGAAAGCTAAGCAGAAAAGAGCTGGGTTCCCCCACAACCCCACAGAATGAGGCTACCCCTGCCCCGCCAGAGTCCATCCTCTACTGCTTGGGACAGGAGGTCCCTGGCTCTTCTGGAAGGGTAGCAATAGTTTACTAAAACATTTTTTAAAGTTAAGAATAAATGTTTAGGGCCCAGAGCAGTAGCCTAGTGGCTAAAATCCTCCCCTTGTACACGTCAGGATCCCATATGGGTACAAGTTCTAATTCCTACTGCTACACTTCCCATCCAACTCCCTGCTTGTGGCCTGGGAAAGCAGTGGAGGACGGCCCAAAGCCCCAGGATCCTGCACCCACGTGGGAGACCGGGAGGAAGCACCTGGCTCCTGGCTTCAGATCAGCTCCAGCTACTGCGGCCGCTTGGTGAGTAAACCAGCAGACAGAAGATCTTTCTCTCTGTATCTCCTTCTCTGTGTAGATCTGCCTTTCCAATAAAAATAAATAAATCTTAAAAAATTTAATGGGACTGGCGTCATGGTGTGGCAAGTTAGGCAGCCACCTGTGACACGGGCATCCCAGATGACTGCTGGTTTGAGTCCCAGCTGCTCTACCTCTGGTACAGCTCCCTGCTAACT